TATAGGTTGTATAATGATTTTTTATCTAGCCATTTTAAGAGTTACTCCCTCGTGATGGTGTCTTGCAAAGTTTGTCACATCATATTTGGTACTATTTGTGTAGTTCAAATTCATTAATACTTATTCACACTCCACAAACTCATTATCAACCGCATATTCCACTTCTCTGTATAAGCATGTCACTTCCACGTGTCCAAATATTTGGTATCATTTGTGTAGTTCAAATTCACTAATACTTATTCACACTTTACACATTCAATATCAACCACATATTCCAATTTTCTATAAAATCGTGCACTTCCACATGTGCAAATCATAGTGGGACAGAGATAGTATATGATAATAATCATAATATATTAATATGGTATAGGTTATGCAATGAATTTAAAATTATTCAAACTTTTTCTAAATTAGTAATAATGTTAATTTTAAAAATTGCCAATAAAAACTTAATTTGCTTTTCATAATAAGCGTGAGTTTAGTTTTCAAAAAAACATAAAGCAGAAAACAGAAATTGATGCCAAACAAGCCCCTAAATGATGGATTTCTGACAATCTCTATGAACTTGTAAAGAATTTATATTGCATTATCAACTCTTCATGTGTTTTAACTAGTTAATCAATGAGCCAAATCTAGATCTCATGTCATGCCATCTCATGCAGTACACAGTTTTTGATCAACTCAAACAACATCTGCTGAAAGACCAACACACATCAAATGGGAAGAAGGGTTCATCATCCCCATTAGCCCTTTCTGCATTCTCTGCATTTTTATTAGGTGCACTCTCAAAGAGCATTGCCACCATCATTACTTTCCCAGCCATTAGGTGCGTCTGCAAGCTTGATGACCCTTTCTTATGTTCATTTGTTCAACCATATGAAAAGCTAATATTTAAAAAAACTCCTGAAACTGCAATCAGGTGCAAAGTTATGATTCAAGCCGCAGACACGAATGATGGAGGGGATAATAAGAAATCCAAACGAAAACCATGCAAAACACTGCTTGGTGTTGCTGGCTCTATCCTTAGAAATGAAGGGATTCTCGGTTTCTTCAAGGGATTACAAGCTCAAATCTTGAAGACGGTGCTAAGTTCTGCATTGCTCCTGATGATAAAAGAAAAGATTTCTGCTAAAACATGGGCACTCGTTCTTGGACTCAGTAGGCTCATCATTGTCAACCAGAGGAGGCTAAAGAACGCATAGCTGAAATGCAGCAGATGGTCTTTCAAGAATCAATCTGCATGCAAGGGGTTTTATGGTAAACTTGGAGAAAAGTAGGAGACAAGAAGACACTTTTTTTTTTGGGAATACACATCTTCTGGTCATAAATGTCAAGTCATGAAACTCGACTAAATAGAATAAATTTGACCGATGTCCATGATTTCTTTATTATTGAATTAGAGAGGTAAGAGTCATTGATATGAAAGTCCAGGGAAACATTATAAGTTTATTATTATATAGGCAGATATTCTCATTTGGCACACATTCATTGGATGATGATCACACATCTAGCTCTTTTCACCCAATGAGGTTATGAGAGTGTGCCAAATAAGAATGCCTCCATATAATGCACTATAGTGTACATTTTTATGTCTCCCTAGAGGCCTGGCCTTACCCCTCCACCTTTGAGCTGCTGGATTCAGCATTGGTTTGCTATGCTAATTTAGATACATTCCACATCCCGAGTACTGGTTTGTTCAGTATTGGCTTCATTTAGAGAATTGGAGATGCTCTATGAAAGCTTTTTCACGAATCTAATCCTCAAATAAAATTCCCGGTCATGATGTGTAACCCATTGTTCAGTTTTCCAACAAGTTATATTGACCATCAACGCGAGTTACATTTGTAATAACATGAGTTACATCAAGAAATTGACTCTTGCTTATTGAAACAAAAAATGATTTAAAAAAAACCATTTTCTATGGTCATGATATTAAAAAGTAAAAACAAAACATATTCACAATATACCTAAAGCAATTGTGCAATTAGATTCTTTTTTTTTCATTGTTTACATTGAAATCAATATTTTTATTTCTTATACTTCCTCCGTCCATTATAACTTTGCCAACTTTCCTTTTTTGGATGTCCCATTGACTTTGCCGCTTTCCCATTTAAGTAAAGAATTTGTGGTTCCAGTTAATTCTCTCTCCTCTGCACAAACCTCAACCACACAATTTTTACTTTATTAATGCTCGTGCCGGTCAAACTCGGCAAACTTATTAGGGACGGAGGGAGTACTATGTATGTGACAAGTTACACTTCGAATGACTTGATTTACATTGATCAATAATGTGAGTTACATTTCTCAAGTTACTCATTCATGCTCCTGAAAAAAAAACAGTTAATATAGACATGTGGAGCATGATGCTCTGGGATAGATCCCATGCTATACGAACTAGGGGTGGGTTCGGTTCTTTCGGTTCGGTTTTGACCTAAGACCAAATACGGAATCAAAGTAAAAGTTCGGTTCGGTTTCGGTTCGGTTTTACACTCCAAAACATGGAACCACGGTTTGATCGGTTCGGTTTGTTTCGGTTCGGTTTTTTCGGTTTTTTACTAAAAAAAATTGTCGTTTGATTTAAATTGATATAAAAGTTAGAGGGATCAAACATATTAAATAAAAATGCAAGCATACTTGAACAAATAAAGAAAATAATAATAAATAAATATGTCTTGAATTATATGAGTATGCGAGAGAGATAAAAGTGTATATATATTCTTAATTTACATTATTTGTGACTAGTTTAAAAAACATTTATGAATACATATACGTCCTATGTGATATAGTTGAGATGAATATTTATTTAATTTTTTTTTTTGAGAGTGAGATGAATATTTATTTGTTTTATCAATTTAAAGAATTTAAGTTACAAAAAAATTAGGTTACATAAAAATAAAAGTTAATTACTACTAATAGCTAGTAAAAACATATAATCATGCAATAAATTGCAACATACATCCATAGAATACATAATAGATCAATATAGCTAGCTACATTATTATGGGCAATGAATGTGTAAATGCATTTGTGAACTAAACTAAACTAAACATAGCACAAACATTATTTCTCTAGCACAAGAAATTCAAAGATTATTGATGATATTAAGATTAATGCTTACATTTAACAAATAAAATTTCATACTTTATTTTCGTTCGGTTTGTTCGGTTCGGTTCGGTTTTGAAGGGTAAAAACCAAAACCGAACCAAACTACTACGTTTCGGTTCGGTTTTTTACATTCGGTTTCGGTTTTTTAGCGGTTCGGTTTATTTGGTCGCGTTTCGGTTTAATTTGATTCGGTTTTCGGTTTTCGGTTTTTCGGATCCAGCCCTAATACGAACCGATTGAATTGCGAGAAGTGGTATTGAGTATTGACTATTGACTACGGAGTATATTTTTTGCAACTGGGCAATGGAATATCAAACGCGTTCTATATCCAAACATAGCGCATTGTGTTACAACTTGCTTGTTTGGTTCAGCTGTAGCATTGGCTAATTGATTTCCTCATCCGGGTTCGACCCCCGGCAGCTGAGTATTTTTTTTGACTTTCTATTTTGGCCCCAGGTTTTATATAACTACCTCCGTAACTTAAAAATCTTCCCGTTTCAAAAGTAGGTAAATTAAGAATAGTGAAAGAGGATATGAATTATTGAGAGTATGATGGGAAGATAGTTGAATAATGTGATGTAATGTAGGATAAATCCAAAAAAAGTAGTTGTAATGGTGTATTATTTTTAGAATTATTGATGGTATGATGGGAAGATTTAGAAGTGAGAAGATTTTTTTGTTACGGACGAAAAAGGAAAGTGTGAAGTGATAATATCTTCTCTTATTTATTCTCTTATTTTCAGAAAAATAATACTCCCCCCATCCCGCTAAAATTGTCTCGTTTTACCTTTTCGGGAAATCCCACTAAAATAGTCCCATACCACATTTGGTAAAGTTTGTGTGGCTCTAAATCATTCTTACTTTATTCTTACTTTATCAATTTAATATCAACCACACAAACCTATTTTTCTTAATAATTGTACCGCCTTCTCTTGTCCCAATCTTAGTGGGACGAAGGTAATACTCCGTAATCAATATAAATATATAAAAGAGGAGCTTTTTAAGAGCATACAAAGCGTCACATAATCTTGACATGTCTCCCATCATATATTTTTATTTATTCTATTAGATTCTATTTTTTAATGCATATTGATATGGAAACAAAAAGTTGTATGATAAAAATCAACCTTATTTGGTAACTTTTTCAAAAATCTTTTACGTAATTGATAATTATTGGAACACAACAATTAATAACCAACCTACACTTAGACTACAATTTATACGGAGTACCTTTTATAAGCATGGAGTAAAAATTATTTGATTATTTTTATTCTTTTTATTTTTGTTACATTCTATTGACGAATGAAATATCTTTGTTTTGCTATTTATTTTGTCTTCAAAATTATTTTATATAAAAAATTTAATAATTGTGTCCCATTTCCTAAAATATACTCCATAATATTTTACTCTTCTAAACTCAATGTTGAAATCATGATTAAAATTCTAAGCCACAGATTTGCAATTGTATTAACACTTCATATTTTTTCTGTCATATTTATATAATTTTTTCTTTATTTTACAAATGGAATATATTTTAATTTTGTTCATGATTCAGGAGATTCCGTCTATTCAGCCCATTAAATCAGCTTTAATCAGTTTCAATAAAATAAGCTTATTCCACCTATTTTAGTATCATCAAACGAACTCTATATTTAGACTGAATTTATTTTTCTTTTGCATCACATTATATTTGATTCCAAAAAAATCATATTCAAAATTAACTAAATTATGTACTACCCGTGCATCACACGGGCTTGAAATATAGTATTTTAATATTTATGAATTGTTGGATTCTTTTAGAGTAAGTGAACTACGAAAACAATATAAAAACATAACTAAATAAGGAGTATAAAGTCATGTATCACTGATTCACTGTTGTATAAATAATTAACTATGTATGATATGTTTTTTTATACAATGTTGTACGTAGTAGCTTTTATGGCCAAATTGAAACAACCAATTGTTTGTGCCTTGTGGATAGTAAACAACTTATCAACGACAACAAAGTAGGCAAAATTCTAAAATGGCCTCCAATTTTTTTAATACCAAATTACGTTTAAAATGATCAATATTATGAAACAATGGCCTGTATATTACTATTAGACTATTCAATCCCAAAAGTATAACCTTTTTTCTATTTCCCTAAAATATGACAATTGTTATTAAAACATACGGACCATCTAAGAAAGAGCACATCTCCATATCTCCTTCGTATCATCTGTTTCGCATCATCTGCTTCTTATCATGTGGAGATCTAAAACACAGATCCGACATCATCATTCCTGTGAATGGCATCTGCTTCGCATCATCTTCTCGGAAGGGGAGCTCGGAAGACCTCCCATGGCATCATCGTCGGCCGTCTCCTTCCGTTTCCATCTCCCTACCCACACCAATCCTCTTCTCCTTCTTCAATTTCTTTCCAATCGTGGGAAGTCTATCGAAGGGACATTTACCTAATCGATGGGGCGAAGAGACGATTTTGAGATCTAGATCTGGGATGGCGGCCAGAGGCGGACCCACTAAGGGTCCCACGGGGTCCCGGGACCCCGTCGACTTCGAAAAAATTACCTATATATTATATATATTTTATATAAATTAATTGGGAAATGTATATATACAATAAAAACGACCCTAGAAGCAAGAGGCCGTTGCAGTAGAATGGAGTAATCGTAGGTTTTAGGCTTTCTATTTCACGTGAGGTCCCAAGTTCGATCCCCCCTAGATACGGAGTACATCTTTTGTTTTTTTAAAACGATTTTAATTAAATAAGACAAAAATGACATGGTTTTGGCACTTTTTTTAATCCCTTAATCATGTGAATTTTATACATGAATATTAGTATTGGTGTATCATTTCATATTAGTACAATATATTTATATTGTATAGAAAGATTTGCATTTTTAATCTCGTAACTTTCGGCTATGACCGTTGCTATTATATTTTATAGTAAAATTACTATCTTGTTATTTTGCTCTTGTAACTAATATAACTATGCAATATTAGAAGTTGGACACTAGAAAGTACACTTTATGACTAAAAATTCGACACGGGCATCATATTTTCGGTAATTTTTGTCCACCCTAAGTTATACGTAGTATTTTTCTACATGTGTTATATTGTGGCCCTCCCTTGCACTCAAGTCTGGCTCCGCCCTTGTACACAAGGGTGGGGACCCCATGGCTCCGACTTTCTGGGTCCGCCACTGATGGCGGCTATGGTTATGCTAGGGCGGTGGTAGGGATGGTGGGGTCGTGGCGGGGCTGGCTAGGCTGCGTTGGGTGTATTTGCTGGATGGGGGCAGCGGTATAAGGAGGGCTGGTCATTCTCCGCCGCCGCCGGCCCGGAGCTAGGGAGGTGGTTCTCAAAGCAGAATGGCGCAGGGAGGGGAATAGATCTGGCATTGGCCTTGGGCTGGGGAGAGGACCGGATTGGGTTGGGGCTGATGGGGGCAGGGCAGCGCTAGGTGGTGGCGGTCATTGGGTGACACTAGCGGTCGACGGTGTTACTGACCGAGTTGGGCGGAAGTCACTGGACAGTGACCAGAGTTGGGCTGTAGTCACCGGATAGGGACCAGATTCAGTGACCGGAGTTGGCCGTTGGTCATTGAGTGACGGTCACTATGGTGGAGCAAGTCACTGAGCGACGGTCGTTATGGCGAAGCAAGTCACTGAGCGACTGTCACTATAGCCAGAGCAAGTCACTGAGCTATGATCACTATGACCGGAGCAAAGTCACTGGGCGGTGGTGCGGCATGACTGCTGGCAGCGCCGTTGGTACGACCGTTGTTGTGGACAGCAAAAGAATCTGTTTCCTATTTTTCAGTATTAAATTCATTAATGGCCTTTTTAGTTTAGGTGGTGTTAAATGGATTAGTGTGCAACGGTTTAGTGCATAACAGCTGGCAGTCATATTTTTGACTTTTTGAAACTTAACCCTCTTTATTGGAAATCCATTAATTAATTGTAATATTTGAATAAAAAGGCCCAATATTATTCAGGTACTCTTAAGTAATAAACAGTCTCAATCTCGATATATTCATAATAAACTTATTGTTTGTGCCTTGTGGAAAGTCAACACACTATCGCGAGTTTAGGTTATACATATATAAGTCTTTTACTTTAATAAATTGCAAAATGAAAATAGTAAAAATTAAGAGACATTAAAGAAACAATTTTGGCCTTTTTATTCCAATATTACTAAAAAAACAGACAAAAGATAAAAATGTGACATCTTTTTCAAAATTCTAAAAATATGACCTTTTCACAATTAAACCCTGCAGTGCAAATTGACTCCAGTCAAAGTGACTTCGTCGTCACAGTGACCCACTGCCATAGTGACCCGCCCCCACAGTGACCCTCCACCACAGTGACCCTCCGCCACAGTGACCCGCCGCCACAGTGACTCCGACCACAGTGACTGTCGTCTACTCGCCATAGTGACTGCCACCGCACCCCGATCAATGATTACCGCCACTCCACCGACAAGTGACTGCCTCCCCCACCCTGGCTAGTGGGTGCCACCGCCCCTGGAGTATTGCCATCGCCCCCAGCCAGTGACGGCTGCCGCCACCGTCCAGTCACTACCGTCACTGGGGCAGTGACTACCGCCCCGCGGCCACAGTGACTCCGACAATAGTGACTGTCGTCTACCCACCATGGTGACTGCCACCGCACCCCGATCAATGACTGTCGCCACTCCACCGACGAGTGACTGCCTCCCCCACCCCGGCTAGTGGGTGCCACCGCCCCCCGGGTGATTGCCATCGCCCCCAGCCAGTGACGGCCGCCGCCACCGTCCAGTCACTACCGTCTCTGGGGCAGTGATTGCTGTCACGCCCCAGACCGCATCTGAGCGCGTGTACAACCGCCGTATGACTAAATGACGTCACCCGCGAGTCGACGTAACTTAGTCAAACAAGGCGTCCATGAACATAGTCCATACCATACTCAGTAAGTAAACATACATAACAACATCACATATTAGGATTGAACGAATAGCGGAAATATTCAATATTCAATCGTGAGCCACACATGGCCAAAACGTAGGCACGCAGGCCCAAAACAATTGTATTTATTACAAGATATCCATGAGCATAGTTTATAATTTGAAAACAATAAAGGAAGCACGAACCACGTCTCCCTTTTGATCACTTCACCAAGCAAGGTGAGAATAGCAACTTGAGCTTCAACCTGAAATGGTGGGCCCCCCCGAAGGGGTCAGTACAAGTACCGAGCGAGTAGCAAGCTAAATGTAGAATAACTAACATTTCAAGTATAAGACCCAAACATAAGGTGATACATATACGTATAGTCCTTCCCCCAAGTTTTGAAATACATACTAGTATATATACACTTGGAAATACCCGACCCGTAGGTCATTGTTTATTTGGGAAAATAATAGAAGCCAATGTTCTTGACTTAAATCCCAACCCACCCATATACCTATGAGTGTATAGAACTCCTCCTTGTTCAAGTAAATTACCATAGGGACACCACCCGGTCCTAGATTATTAAATGTAATCTATGAGTTTTGAGGATACACGCCCGATCCTTGGGTACTCCACCCTATAACCGAGTTTTGAGGATAACCGCCCGATCCTTGGGTACTCCACCCTATATAACGAGTTTTGAGGATAACCGCCCGATCCTTGGGTACTCCACCCTATATAACCGAGTTTTGAGGATAACCGCCCGATCCTTGGGTACTCCACCCTGTAACTGAGTTTTGAGGATACACGCCCGATCCCTGGGTACTCCACCCGACCTATGACTTACCACATATCACGGTAGATAGTGTCTATATCATATTATTACTAAAGACTAAACCAAGTCTTAGAATTAAATCAATAAATATCAACCTTGACATTTAACTATCATATTCCATGCAATTCCATGCACAATATACACACATAGGTTGTACGGGATCAACCCCCCTTCGAACCGGGCTCCGATTCGCGTTTTCGGCGAAAACGTAATATGGAGGCAGCAGCTTACCCGGCCCCGGGTATGCCCTATACCCGGCGCCGGGTATGTTCGGAGTTTTGGGTCAACGGCCCGTTGACCCCTGAAACGTGATCCGTTTGATCCGAAATTTTTATACAACCTGTATTATGTCTAAAACAACCAATAAATGCCATTTTGGTCATCCAAAACATCATATATGTTTTTATATACATTTTCTACTTCCCACATGCATAATCATGTAGTTTCATTCACATAAGCCTAATCACCTTGGCTAATCACATGCTTAAACTCTTTTAAACATCATTATGAATACTTATAACATTTATTTAGGTAATCTCATACTTAACCCAAGAGTTATAAGACATTAAGCCGTCCACTCACCTCGAATGAGCGTTATGAAGTTCTACCCTTCTTGGTTGAACTCCGATGAAACTCCGGCGAACCTTGACGAACTCCGGCGACAACTCCGGCGACAACTCCGGCGACTCTTTCAACTTCGTGAAAGTTCTTAAATCACCTTCGACAAGGGCCTAACAAGGTTTTATCATTACAAAACCCAAATTAATACAAATAACCTCTAAAAGGTCATTTTCCGGCGAGCCGGTCTCTGCGGTCTCTAAGTCCGTCCTTGGACTTAGAACCATCTTTCAACCCTTCATTCTACACTCTTAATGTGTGGAACTACCCCAAGGGTATTTCATATGATCTATAACTCATATGACAATCAAAAGGTAAGAGAAAGGTTGTTCAAGAGCTTCTTACCTTTCTTCCCAAGGTTTTCCTCTACTTTTGCAACTCCTTCTTCTTCCTTGAGTTCCTTGCTCTTGGAGCTTTCTTCAACAATGGAGATGGAGGTTTTCAGAGCTCTCTCTCTCTCTCTCCTTGGTGTCTTGGTCGAAGTTGGGTGATGAGGGAAATGGGGTGGGTTCTCCTTTTTGGCATATTAGCCATATGCGTGTGAGAGGGGTCCCTTAGGTGTCAAGATGGTCTCCCCCATCCCTTCAAGGGTTTTCAGCCCCATTTGCACTCAATCAAGTCTCCAAGGGTTGACAAAACCGTGGGGTGGCCCCCACACATGTGGGAGGTCATCCCTTTGTGTCCCGGTGTGTACAATCGACCCCGAAAGTCGTATTTCTCGGACTGTTTTAATTATATTTTATTTTATCGGGTCAAATAAAATATATTAAATGTCCATAACAATTATGGGTCTTAAGAATGAATATACATTCCCCAACTTTAATTTAAAAGTCTCCGAAATTCATTTCGGACTGTTATCTGAAAAATTGCCGGTACTGGTAATTGGGCCCTGTTTGACAAACCGGTCAACCCAATGCCTTTTTCATGGCCCATTATGAATATCCACCACCATGTAACTATTATCTAGACCAAGATGAATATAACATGTGGTCTCGTGTTATCGGGTTACCACCGCTCCGAGTGTGGGCCCCGCGTGGAATTTACTCTTCACGCAAAAGAAATAACAAAAATTTACAACCTCGTAAATTCATTACTAGACACGCCTTGTTCAATACATAATTTACATAAAGGTAAATATATTTGGGGACGGTGTTACAATTGCCGCCCCTCAGCCAGTGATTGCTGCCCCCGGTTAGTGGTTGCCGCCGTCCACCCCTGCCATTAAACTGCCCGACACCACCGTCACAGCCACTGCTCACCCCACACCATTGTCAGTGCACCACCCGCCAACCCCGACCTGACCTTACCAGTCCCCTCCCCAACCATCCCAGTTCCCCCTTCCCCTCCCCAACCTTCCCAGCCCCCTGCCCAACTATCTCAGCCCCCTGCACCGCCGACCCCAACCAGGCCATCACCCAACACCGCCAAC